CCGCAATTTATTATTTTTCTTTCTTAGTTACCTCACTCTTTTTCTTTTCATGTCCCACTATTTTTTTTTAAATCACTTTCTAATTCTAGTAATCCACATTTTTATTACCAATCACATTGTCAATTCCAAATATACTTTATTACCAGAGAGCGGACAATTTATGACTTTAACCTTGAACATAGATATGTCATTCATAAACCTAGATACATTANTGCTTGAACATTATTGTTTAATATATTGTTATAAATGGTAATTTTCTTAACTGTATTTACTTATTCTGCTTCGCTTCTTTTTCTTTGTAACCTATTTTTCTTTTTTATTGTCTGGACGCCAGCTCACATGAGCATATAGCTGTAATTTAATTCAAATTTTAGTTTGTTATGTTAATAGAGGAAGTTTTTGTTTGAGAAAAAAAATGATTTAAGATTCAAACAAATTTTGATCTAATATGAGTAGTCTTACCTTAGGGTAAGGTTCTGAGAAGATTAGTATTTTCATTTTGAAATATTATACTGATTAATGAATTTAGATACTTAATCTTGAGATGGAATTTGAATTTTAACTGACCACAGTTATTCTATTTCTCGTAAAAAAATTTCTAATTCATTTATGGTTTTTCTTTATTTAATAATTTTTTTTCTTTCTGGCAATCAAATTATCTTCCTTTTAAATTAAAAATTTTATTTAAAAAACTTTAGCAGTCACCTCCCGCAATTTATTATTTTTCTTTCTTAGTTACCTCACTCTTTTTCTTTTCATGTCCCACAAATTTTTTTTAAATCACTTTCTAATTCTAGTAATCCACATTTCTATTACCAATCACATTTTCAATTCCAAATATACTTTATTACATTGTATTTCTTTAAATTGAAATCCTTTTTTTACGAAAATTTTTAATTGATCATATACTAATTTTTCTTTATTTCATCTTTTCTTTCTTTATTTCAACCATCTACTGTACGCCTATTGGTCACACTTATTCAATTTATAATTTATTTCTTTAAAATCAATTTTACCAATTTTATTTTCCCAGATTTGCCTTTCTCTTTGATAGTTTAAAATCTTTGCCCTAACTTATTCTATTACAATATATTTAGTTTTAGTAAAATTTTTCCTTTATACTTGTTACAGTTCTTAAACTGAAAAATATTCGTATAAAGAAATTTTTACATCATATAAATGTTTCATTCGGACGCTCCCTCTGCTTGGCGCATCCACCATTAATTAGAAAAATAGCTGTTTCACTACAGGTATATTTATATTCTATCTATCAAAAACGTGGTATTCAATTTCATAAAGAAAAATATAGATATGTTTTCTTAATTAAGTGATTAGTGTAGGTATATCTATCAGCCTCGTGTTTGTCTATTGTAACTTTCCATTAGCACGTCCCCTAATAATAATTAAATTAATACCACAGTAGTTTTCTGTCCGTTGGCTTTTTCAATTGCCTTTCTTTTTACTACGTTCTGTACAGGGTCGTTCAGAAAATAGGTATTCCTTAAACCAAGTAGCTTTAGGAAAACGCGTTGCTGTTCGTTTTGAACTGGGTATATGAAGTTTTTTGGTATGAAAATAATTAATTATGGCCGCATGAGAATATAATCCCAACTTACGATTTTCAAGTTAGATACTTTATATATTTTTATCATAAAAATGCATCTTAGTGGCAGTACACATGGTATTAGATTTTAGGAAATTTCGGAATGTGGATTTACAATTAAACAATAAAAATAAAAACAAAAACTAAAATTTTCATATCGAATTTACATATTCTCCTATTTTGTATGTTATCACCCTGAACCTATTTGTAAATTAAATATTAAATAAGATTCCTACTTAATACCTAAATCGTTCAAAAAGATACGAAGGCGCCACATGGTTTTTTAAGAGAAAAAATATTCATCGCTACTATATATCACACCATGTCATTCATTTGACAGATGTGTTAATAATGCGATGTTATCTAAAAGGATCATTTTTTAACTTAATTGGATATTTCTGCTATACTAAAAATAAAACGAAATTTCATAAATAACTCCTTGCGACACGGATCAGTCAAGGGGTTGATTTAGGCTACCAAATTTATAAAATAAACTGTTTAACGATGCTTTTGATACAGCCACTCATTTGCTTAAAATTCTGTTTTCATTTCAGTGTAGCATAAAATCCCAGTTGCATAAAAAGTATACAATTTATATTATATCTGCTCAAGGGTTGTTAAGTTGTGTAATAAAATAGAAATACGCTCATAATACAGGGTATTGAATTTTGACTGCCTTAATTTTAACAGATGATAGAATACATTAAAATAAACAAAAAAACCTTATATGACAAACTAAACTCAACCATACCATAAAATTCAATTTTTATCACTTTTTGAACTTCTTTATGCTTAATTCTAAAAAATAATTAGCATTGCAATAAATTTAAAATTCATATCGAGCAATGTGACAACGGCGCGGCATATAACACGAGGTACTAAGCTGTCCAGCATTATGCAATTTAGTTAGTATCTGGAATTGGACCGTGTCTGGGCGTTTTTTGCGTACCACTATTTCCTTTTTTTGAGGTGTTTTTAAGCGAGTGCGTGAAATATGGATTCGAAGTTGTCGTGCGTGCATCGAAAATGGTAATGGACATTTTGAGCATATGTTGTAGTTTGTTTTTTACTTGTGCGTTTAAAAATGACTGAATTTTGCATTTTGGTAAGTACCTAAATTATTTTTAATACGTATGATTATTTGGATTACGTGAATCTTTGGGTACTTTAATTACCTACATATTTATCAAATTCATATTTTGATTCCTTCCTGAGTTCCTGTTTTCAGAAACTCATAATAATTACTACAAAAGCGATACATTTTATTTTATTTATTTAAAAACTGGCAAACGATTGTCTTGAAATTTACTAAATGTTTCACAATAATAGTTGTTTAATTTTTTTCCGTAGGACAAGTCTGCCGCGTGCACACGTGGTATGCACTAGCTGTGTAGCGTTAGGTTAAGCGCTGTTGTCACATTGTGATGAAACTCCCCAATATTAATACTCGCTGTATTTTGAAAACTGTTAAACTTACGCCCCTGTAATATACAACTTTTTTGTTCATTTATGATTAGTCTATCTCATGCTGGCAGTCAAACTTCTTACACCCTGTATATTAACAATGAATCTTTTCAGGCTCAAGTCATTGGTGATCTTAAAAAATTGACCAGTTTCTTATTTTTTTCTTCCGTTTGTTGTAGACACTTACATTAATACTAGGTCCACACAAGCACTATGTTAGTTAGTTATGTTATCTATAGATTCGATTTCATTGTTTTACCATACCAAATAGACATGGCTCAGTAAAATATTGATAAGTTGCTATTTTGCGATGATAGATATCTATTTTTAAACCGTCGTGAAAGATACCAAATATCTTTTATCTCGGTTTTTATAATTTCGATGACATATCAACATATTTATTAACAAAACTGCAAGTTGACCAACCTATAATATTTTTATCTATGTCTTCTACTTATGTCTTGTATATTATAATTATTTCAAATTTTTCAGGTTATTTACTTCCTGATAAATGTTTCGCTATCAACATATTAATTATTTTGTAATGAAATATCCTCTACGTATTACTAAATTTATTTTAAAACAGTGCATTTGTTTCATAGGGATAACGTTCGGTACCACTGACAACGCTGATTTAAACATATAGTCGAAAAGCAAATCTACTTTATTGCGAATGTAGGGTACGTATTACTCATACCACGTAGCCATGTTTGAAACAATGCTGGCTACTTTTAATACATATAGCAAACATAACAAACATACCTAGTATAACGCTCTATGGTAGGAATATTGGTTAGGTTTATAACACGCATATTAAATGTAGTAAAGACAGTAAGTGCTGTGAAAAGCTTCAGCATAAAACAGTAATAGCTTTTTAATACACACAACGAACATAGAAAACACAAAATAAAGCTCTGTGTGGTCATATTTTTTATGTACATAGTAAACGTAACGAATATAGCTCTCATATCGCTTTGTATGACTTTAGCATAAAACAGTGGTGATTATTTTTAACACACAACGATATTAGCCTATTTTTAACGTACATAGCTAACATAGTGAACATAGCTATGTTGTTGTTTTAACATAAAACAGTGGTGACTATTTTAATACATACAGCGAACATAGCTAACAAATATAGCTTTTTTAACGTATACAACAAACATACCGTTTTATCTACAGCACGAACAGTGGTTGTTATTTTTAGAAAACATAACGTATATAAAAGAAAGCTGGTGTGGTTGTAACATTGGGTCTTCTAACGAACAACAAATATAGCAATAGCATAGCGCTCTGTGTGGCTATTCTTAAACACATAGCTATATAGTTCTCTGCTGTTCGGGATGTTTTTAATATGTCTAAAGAGGTAGCTCTAGCATAACGTTCTGTGTGGCTTTGGCATAAAACAGTGGTGTCTATTTTTAATAGACTTTGCGAACATAGTAGTAACGCTCTGTGTAATTATAATATTTGCTACTTATAATGTACATAACGAACATAGCGCACATAGCTATCATATAATTTTGTGTGGTTTTAACATAGAATGGCACCAGCTATTTTTATACACGTAACGAATACAAGCTAGTATATTTCTCTAGGTGGTCGTAACACTAGATGTTTTTAACATGCCTAACAAACATAGCTAACACATAGCACTATGTGTGGCTTTAAAAACAGTGATACCGTTTTAAAAAAATAGCATACCACTCTGTGAGGGTTTCTTTTTCATGCAAAGCGAACGCAGCGAATATAACCCTGGTATTTGTTCTTTGTATCCATAGGAACCTAGTAAGCACAGCCAATATAATACTCTGTGTATTTGTTTTTAACGCGTACAATGAACGTAGTGAAAATAGCGCTCGTGTAGCACTACTCTGACATTAAAAAGTTAATTTCAAATATCAGTTTTCTTTAGAATGTTAGAAGGACTCACTTGAATTTGTAGTGTAGTTGACACTGTAACCGGGGCACATTTCCCTGACGTACGACGACGCCAAGGGCCCCAACAAGCTGGCCCGGGTGTCCTCCTCTATCCTGTACGTCACGTCGGTCCAGTAGCAGATATCGCCGAGGATCTCGTCGCAGTCCAGATTATCCGACGGGAAAATGTTCACTTGCACACTCATACGATCGCGGTCGTCGTTGATTGTGTCTACGACACAGGCCGTCGTCGAGACTTTTCCAAGACCTGGAAAAGACAGGAAATTTGATAAGATGTTGGGTTTCGATTGCTGGTATCAATTACAGTGGATGAGGATGGGGGGCGTAATTATTTTGACGAAATTTATGTGTCAGTTGCAAAGTTTCAACTCACATTTCGATGCCGCACAAGTTTCAAGTATTACACAATAGTTCTCGCTTAAATTTAATACAAATTTCCGTTCATGTTAGCTGGAAGATATTATTTATGAATAAAAATTGTCTTCTAGGTTGTACAGGGTGGCCGTTTTTAGAGCAGCACCATTGTGATCGGTTATTTTAAGAGATACGAGGTTGGTCAAATTAGGATAAAGTGCTGGATATTGCTGGCAATTAACTTGCCGAAGATATCATCGAAAAACTGAATATTAAGATTTCTTTTCTACTTTTTATTCAAAAATGGAAAGACGTGGTCTTTTTAAACTGACCATTCTATATGGAATTGAAATATGTAGTCGTATTAGCCGTGACCTCTGTTAGTGTGGATAAACGGTAAGCATCTTGTGTTTTTCATTTGCATGCCAAATTAGATTTTCGTGTTGATTCAGCACATTTTTCTGATCACGTATATGTGTCATATGACATAGTTTATATTTGTCAAAATACGGAATATTTTTACATGTAATGTTTTGAAAACAAAACTTCCAACAATTGTTTAAAACAAAATTTTCACGGTTTAGTTAAATTTCTATGAACAATGTCAATGACAAGTTTTAACAAGTTCAAATAATTAAAAATTCACATGAACTAAAGCCATATATTCTAGATGTTGGTGTAAAAATTGATAAAATTTTGTTGTTTGTCCTCAGTTTATCAAGATGATTTGAAAGCAAAGTTGACTGATCTTTTGATTTTTTAAACAGAAATTCCCCCCAAAAATTCAAAAAATCCAAATTAGCCACCCTATCTTTAAAAACATTGTTTTGACGTGAGGGATCCTCATCTATATCTCTCACTTGTTTCTTTCAAAAATAAAAATAAATATAAATCAGACATGGCAACCGTTATAACATTTGTTGGTAAAACCAAAACTAAAAAATATTTTGAACTAAAAGTTGCTTTTGTCTCGTTCCCAGGCAGCATTTACGAATTACAGTTTTAGCGTTTTAGGGAATCGATACGTCATAATTTTTTTAATCATTTTCGGATTCGTTGAAAAATTTTACTAAAGATAGGTGGGTTGGATGGCTAGTTTGGAGTTTTTTAATTTTTGGGGGGAATTGAGGGTGAGAGGGGGGAACCCGTGTGTCAGAAATATTTTTTATCATTTTCGGATTCAGCGGAAAATTTTAATATAGATAGGCAGGATCACGTCTCTAAAACAATATTTTTTGTCGTATTGTGTAATCTAAGGACTGTACTTTTTTTTATTTGTATCTATTTTGGAGTTTTGTTTGTGTTTTTGGTACCTAGTGTAACTATATTTTTTTTCTAAGCATTTTCTGACCCATGTTCATAAGAAACTTTCCGTTTAAAATGCGGTTTCCTATTTCCGGTTTCAATTTGGCTTTAAATTACAGAAAAGAATGAACATAATAAATGTTTATATCAGAAAAATATAAGCTTGTTTTCTCAGCCTATTTCTATTTTGAAAAATAGCATTTCAATGCAATACATTATTTTATTTCAAATAGCGTTGTTTTAACAATTTTTTTTGACGTTCTTTGTTTAAAAATTAAAAAAGTAATGGTCCAAAGAAAAAGTTATGTCTACCAACCCTTGAAATTATGAAGCTTTTTTTCGAGAATATCCCGTATAACAGTGATTCAGATAATGAAAATTTAAAAATAACCTCAGTTTGCCCTCATCTCTTTTAGTTACCGAGCTACAGAAAAAAAAAATCGTAGGAAGAAACCTAAGAGTTTCAAAACCCACCCATCTACTTCTATGCAGAATCAAACGTATTTCAACATTTTTACTCTCGAATTGGTCTGGCAGAATTTTCAGTCTAAATAGACATTTAGTGTCCAGATATAGTTTCCTGACAGTCAATCAATAAATTCTCTGATATCGATAGTGATTATTTTACGTTCTCAAATTTAACGCTTTTTCTTATAGATAATAGAAAAAGACAGGCGGGAGAATTTAGGGACTACACTGTCAAATATTAAACAAACTGAAAGCGACGTAAAATTTTGAGGAAAGCATATTTCATAAGGTTCACTCGTACGTTTCAGCGAATGACAAGTGACGGTACGGGATATAAAGCGTTTTATATGCGGCGGCGTCTTCCATGAAAGTAAATTTCAGAACATACGTTACTTTGATGTCTACAAATTTCTTCAGGGCTGAAATATTCGTGGAATCACGATATCAGATCAGTCACGAAATGTTTCTAATTTGAAAATTCGCTGTACGAATTAATTCCCAATTTAGGTTTCCTAATTATTTTTTGTGATAATTCAGTCGAAGTTCTTGATGGAAATAGGGAGAGAATTCTGAAAATTCCGCTACGCCTACTTTATCCTTTTGTTTTTTAAATAATTTTGAAGGGCTAGCACAGTATCATGAACATTACTAAAAGTGATACGTGATAATATACTCGCATATAGCTGTTTGTTAACTTTGCTAAATAAGCAGTTACTATTTTTGTGAATGCATAAATTTACTAAACATAAATCAAATTGAATCTAAATAGCATACTAACACGCACTGTTTGTTTCTTTCATTACATTTGTTTCATGCAAATTTTTTTTTCATATAACTGCGCCGTAAAGTTTTTCTGAACTATGTTTACAAGGTAAAAAAATATCCATTTATTCAGCAAACAGACTTTTCTATATGACTTGACGTCAATTTGTTTTAATGAAACCTATGAGCTAAGAAAAATGTTTACTAAATGGAATTGTTAAAAATACCATTTCAGGAGATATTGAACATTTGACATTGTTTAATATTTAACACCCCGTATCTCGAAACTCAGTGGCTTTAAATATGTTGTTCATTAAAGTTTTTTAGTTTAAAATCACTGAGGAACAACTTCATGAAGCACGAAATGAATTTAAAAGGCAGGATTAATACTACTAGAATACTTACTTTTTATATCGCTTTGGAAAAACGTTGGAGTGAGCAACACATCTCCAGTAGTGGCGAAGACTTGGAAATATTTCGACGTCCCATTAATGGAAAACCTCAAGTGCTGCAAGTTGCTCCTAACTTTAGTCCCTTGATTGTCCCTTGCAAGTAAAGTGAGTATGGGGTGGTCCGACGGCGGTAACTTCGCTTTGTCGCTGGGAAGTGTGAGCTGTACGTCTATCATTGTGAAATATACACTCCACACTGCAACAAAATGATATATTCTCATAAATGTTTGCACGAATAGGTTACGATGAATTACATCAACAAAGTAATGTACAAATACAGGGTGATTCAGAACTTATCAAAAAAAATTCTGGATGTACAGGGGACCCTTACAATTACAATTTTGTAAAGAAAAAATAAAAAAAGGCAGTTCGAAATTGATTTAAAAATACACTTCTGCACGGCACTGGAAACTGGTCCACTGTAAAACCTGACCTAGCACACTGCGACTGGCATGGCGGTGTGATAAAAACGGACAAAGACTTTCCCAAAGAAAGAAATATGTAAATAGAATTTTATAGCACCTATTTTATATCGGCAAATTCAACTGCTTTTGCCTTTATTAATTAATAAAATTAATGTGTTTTTAAATAATAAAATCATTTGACATACCCGATGTTACAACAATTGTTCAAAATTTTATCCACTAACGTGTAAACACGTTTGGGTCGTCTTACTTTCTACGAACTAACACAAATTATGTCTTGCTTCACCACAACACAAATGCTTCACCATAATACAAATGTTGTCTTGCTTCACCATAAATTAAAACGATATCCATCAACTCTGAGTTGCTGTACACGCAAACCATTTTTGACACTAACTACTAAAAAACTGTTGTAAACACCACAGATAACAGGTAAAAACTACCGCAACGACGGATTTCAGTATTAGGAGTCACATGGCTCTCCACGCTTATTGCGAATGACGCTAGAGACTACAGTTGTCCAGCTATGTAGTGGTTGAATGTACTATAACTTCAATAATTTTTTTCTCGGAAACTATAAGGGTTTTACAACAAATTTTTTAAGTTATAAACTCCATTTCTCAGTTGTGAATCACCCTGTATATTGTGTTGTTCGAAATAGACTTTGATGCAGTAAAGTAATAAAATAATAATTAAATAACTCTTTCAGTATGGCACGAGACGAGACTCGTAGAATTTTTTATTTAATTGATGAAAATATTTGCAGTATGCAATGAAATTAAATACGGTTTAGTTTCATATTTTACTTTAGTAACAAAATTCCAAAAACCGCTATTGGCACTTTATTGAGAATTGTTATAAATATCAAATATAAATGAAATGAGAAATTTACAAATCTTGATCTTTGTTTGAAAATTTGCGAGGGGTACTGGAACACTTTTTTAAAATCTAATTACGCTGTCTGTTCTGTTTACTAATTATTTTGTAAATCTGTATCTACAGTATGTATGTCCATGGTTAGGGGGAATAAGAGGAAAAATTTGTTTATTTTACATTTTACGGAAAAAAGGCACACTTAATAAAAAGTTTTGCTTGAATTTAAAATGAGGTTGCCATAGTGAAACTTAACATTTCATGTACGGGGTGTCCAGAAAATAAAAAATCTGAAAATGTCACGGGAGTAAACTACCTTTATTTTTAATATTTCTGAAAAGTGATATTTTGCAAAAGTCGTGCAAAAAAATTACTTGATTTTATAAATAAAACAATTCGCATACAAAATATTGGTTTAATTTTTTACAGAGCATAATAAATTCGGAAAAAAATGTATGTATAATAAAACATTATTCAAACACTCCTCTGCCAACGTTCACACAAATTTGAAGGCGTGCAAGGAATTCATTGTAGCTGCGTCTAATCTCTTCTAAAGATATGGACTGTACAGCATCTCTAATTCGTTGTTTTAGCTGCTCGATGTTATTGTTCAAAGGCCTGCTATACACGATCTGTTTGAGTCGGCCCCGCAAGTAAAAGTTCATGATTGTTAAATCTGGACATCGCGGAGGCCAATCCAGCGATTGGGAAAAATGTTCTGTAACCAGGTCTTAACAGTTACAGCAGAATGCGCCAGATAACCGTCATGCTTAAAATAAAAACAAGTAGTAAATTGTCCAATTCATTAGTAAGAAACGTTTGGAGTACATTCAGGTAGCTGTACGACCAAAAGAAATTGATTTAAAATATTTTCAAGTTTGTAACTTCGCCGCTAGGGGGCGCAACTGCTATAGTGTTACAGAAAATTGTCGGGTTTTCGAAATTTCACTTATATAACCTAAGTTGCAAATACATTTTTTAGATACACTGTTAAACCCTTCACAAGTTTTGTTTGAACTTTTTTTGTTATTACCATAGCAACGTCAGTATGAAGGACGCTATCTTGAAATTTTTAAATTATCATAACTTCTAAATGCTTTAATCTATTTCAGTAAACGATGGCTCCTTTTAAAGAACTATAAATAAAATTTATTTTTATGGTAGGTATAGGATTAAAAATATTATTTTCCTACACAACGGTAGACGACGCTATTGAGAAAAGTTTTGTAATTGTCTCCGTTTACTAAAAAATTAAATGCAACGATATAGGTTTTTTTTTTCATGGCTTGATAGACCATTCATTATGGAAAACATATACACAAACCGGAGGTCGATATCTTTTTCGTTTTCAAGTTATTGCTAAAATAATGAAGATCCTCCTTTATTCAGTTCTCTAAATAACATTGACATAATCCAAGCCAAAATTAAATTGTAAAACTATATCAATTTTATCCTTAAAAAGAATTATTGCTTATTTTGAAATTTTTTTGATAACTGCAATAGTTAGTTATACAGATTATTGTTTCTTTAACGAAGGAGGTTTTGTCTTATGAAAATAAACAAATAAAAAATTATGCCAAACGAAATGTGACAGCTCTTGCTACGTACTACGTGCAAAATTAGTGTCATTTGTATGAGAAAAGTACTTGTGTTCCATATAAAATTCCCAGGTATCTAACTAATTCCCTTAGACTTATTTGGGGATTTACATGGACACAAGCCAACATATTAATAATATTATCTTCCGTTCTTGTACGGCGATGTCTTCTTACAGAATGTAGTGGCGTCTGAATAAACGCTGAAATACTTCTCTGGAATAGCGTATTCTACGAGGGTATCGCAAAGCGTAGATATTCTCTTAAAGCTATAACGGCATTTTTCAAACATTGAAAATAAACTGCCAACATATCATACGCTTCCACATTCGTAAAAAGCATTTTTCTTGCTCACAAGTACTTATCCAACACAAATGACACTAATTTTACACGTAACAAGAGCTGTCACATTCGTTTGGCATAATTTTTCAGTTGTCAACACTATAGCAGTTGCGCCCCATAGCGGTGAAGTTACAAACTTGAAAATATTTTAAATCAATTTCTTTTGGTCGTATTTGTTAATAGATTTTTTACCCCATAATCGTAGCACGTCTAGTTTTCTATATGTATACAGCCGTTCGATACCGTTAATGGATCACCCTGTATAAGCAAATTGGATACTTGTTAATTCTACGTAAAAAACAAGCATAAATTATGGAAATTGAAGTTATATAAGTATAATGCTTCTTTTTGCAATCACAATTGCATGAAAATATGGTGCTTTTTTAAGTAATATTATTTTAACGTTGCTTTTCAGAGCAATAATGTCGAATGAAAACAATTAATTTATAACAATAACAAGTGTTTAATTTTAGTGTCTAAAGTTTTGATAGGATGTAGAAGTGCTAGCGTATGGCCTCCATATTCTCCAGATTTGAACCCATGTGATTTTTTAAGTTATTCATTCCACAGGCATTGAACACTTACAATTTTAATTGGATATACCTACCTACTTATCCTGAAGAATTAAAATATAATTTCAAGAAACATATTTGTTGATAGATGATACTTAAAATATTTCTGAGCAAAAAACTTCTCTAACTTCAAGATACTGTAACTTCGAAAACGTTAATAATCGGGTGGGGGTTTATAAGGCAAAATAATTCAGAGGAAGATACCTCTGAATTTTTTAAGCGTGTTTTGAATTGTTCTGTACAAAAAATTTCAACATCCGCGTCAACGTTTGACCTTTTCATGATTCCCTATTTTTTTTGAATATATACACAGCGCACGTTGATTTTAGTATTACACGAACAACTACAATTACAATTATGATGAATCGACTACGTCACATACTTATCTCGTTCCTGATTGACTTCTTTCGCTCGCATTAAACCGTTTTTCCAACTCAGGGTCAAGGACTTTTTATCACGCAAATGTAGATTTAAGCACAATTCCAGACGCATATTTATACACTGACAAAAATCTTAATTATTATTTTTGAAGAAGTTTGGATATAATCATACTTTACTTTATGAAAATTGTTTGTAATAACATTGCTTTGTTTAGCTCACACAAACTGAAAAAGTGAAAAACCTTTTTGATTAAACCTAAACACAGGTGCGTGTTCGCACAACCTTTGTCCGTCTCATTACTTGTTATAGGACGTAATCCGACAATTACGAGTTTTCCGCTAAATAATGGTATAAATAACGGTGCCAGCGTGGATGGCTGTTCTCGTTATTGAAAAGCCACAAAGGCTGGGTCTACGAGGCTCCGGGGACCCACTGGGTTCATTAGGTTGCCGTAATTTTGTGTATTCTGTGTCGCCAGTGGATTGAGGAGAACCGCCGAGAGACGACTGTCCGCTGAAATATTCTCTAATCATTTATTCGTTATGCGTATGATTTTGTTGATTCACTCGACTAAATCCTTCTTTCACAATTTCAGCGTATGTAGTTATTTTATTTTAAATTAAAGAGAATCTACGTGAAGGGTATCTTGTTAATGGCGAAATATATTTCGATGGATACATTTGACAGCCTTAATACTAGGAAAACTGTTTTTTCTTGCAAATTAAGTCTTGTGTAATGGTGGATATTTTCTGTTCTCCTTCTAAGAGTTTTAAACATGTATAAAAAGCAATTTGTAATACGTGATGATGAAAATTTTACCAACATGATTATTCAAAAACTACTTGCTATTGCAGTTTATAATTAATTACTGCTTTCGTAAGGTTATTGGTAAAGTTGTCTTTACCAGAAATTGACGTAGACAGGAAACAATGATTAGGAAATACTTTTGAAACTTGTCGACCATGGGTATACAAAAAACTCCGACGAA